AAATTTACATTTTAATTTTACCTGTATGTCACAAAACTTTTGAAGAGAAATTATTGAAATTTCAGTTAAGGTTAAGCAATATTATGTATGTACGGATATTTTGTGTAAATTTAAGTATATAATTTTTGTTTGCTTAGCTCCTCTACTACAGCAAATTGTTGTAAAGCTGGTAGTATTAATAAAAAAATTAGTATGACGATATTCTTGATTTCTAGCATAACATTGAAGATTTGTTTTTAAAAACTACTGAATTTTTTTTGATCTATGTTATTGCGTTCATAAAATTAGAATAACGCAAAAACAATTGAAGCTTATCTAATCTTTTTATGGGCAGGCATTTTATAGCGTCTTCATTTTACTATCTTCACTTTCATGTACCAAGGTTTCATGTGTATGTGTTCATGTCCTATGACCTATACCAATAGACAATAAGTATCAATTAGAAATAACTGAAAGCTGTAACCTTGAAGGTAAAATTGGAAATACTTATTGTTTATTAAATTGTGTCAATGTCCATGTTAAATATTACACGTTATCTTATCTGCTTCTTCAGATTCTTGACATAAAAACAACGAAGTGAAATTAAATTTAGTAATAGCATTATTTCTGTGACCTCAATTGCAATATACGCAAATTAAAAACTGCGACTACCTGCTAAACATTTTTGTAAACTGTGCTATATAAGACAAGTGGCAGAACACTTTCTATGTCGAATTTTTGGAGTCGCAAGTGGTTTATTAATACTACTCATGTACTACCAAGATAACACAGTTCTAATAAGTGCAACTAACTGGTCAGTGGTCTAATCTAATTAATATACTCATAACATACCGTTTCTATTAATAAATATTGAAAAATTTATGTGATCTCGTTCGTTGTATTTTACTTTTTATTTAATATAAATTACTTAAGTTCTCATATTTATAAAACAATAACAATACAAATTAAAAGAAAAAAAATTTATAATAATTTTATACAATTTCATTTTTAGATTTAATTCTGTCCAAACACATTATTTAACAACTCTTCTAGTGTTACACTTGGTCGGTCAGCAGCACTGACATGTGGCGGTAAAAATATTGGAGGACGATAAGTTTCATTTTTATCTTCACCAACACATTTCCATAAATAGCTCATACAAGAATTTGAACAGCACTCCCAATGATTTTGGCACTAAAGAGTTTAATATAACATTTAATTTTTTATTAGATCCAAATATTGCCATTGTCTTTGATACAGGATTGCGTTAAAATTTGGTTTACTTACATATTGTCCTTTTGCAGTACACTCTCTTCCACCAACTGATTTACTTTCAACAATTAGGCAGCATATTGCAACAAGCACAATTATTTTCATTAAAATTTTCATTTTAAAACTTTTCTTATTTATAATTATAATTTTAAATTGTTAAACGCCTAATTTTAAACGCCTATCCAAATATGATGGTGTAAAATTTTAAATTAACCATTTTTTATTCCAAATTTTCCCTTAAATACAATTTTTTTCTGCTATGTTTGATTTGATAAAAAAAAAGTACAAAAACAAAAAATGTTTTTTTTTTGCTACTGATAACTCGAAGAGCGAATGACGACTTGCATTTAGTATGAAACAGAAGCTACACACTCACACACACACTTCATAATTTTAAAATAAAGAAAATGAAAAATTGTTTTTATCAATTTTTTGCAAGGTAATTTTCATAAAAGCCATTAAAAAATATTGTTAAAAATAATCGCTAAAGTACTCTAGTGTTCACGCAGTTATAGGAATTTCGATTAGTAATCACGAAATACTATTCTTATTCTAAATTTTATGAATATTTCTTAAGGTTTTAAATAAGAAGATTCCGAGAATTTGATTGATATTTTAGAAATTGGTGCAAATTAAATATCTCGTAACAAAAGAAGTGGCATAAATTAGTTCTGATTCGGTTAAAAAAAAAAAAATCTTCTCCAGTTACAAATAAGGTAATTGTGAAAAAAACAAGTTCCAAATTTTAATTAAATTAAGACGTTTTTTTTTCTTCAAATTCTTACTTACGTCAATGACATTGCACGAATCTGCAAAAGCCTTGAAGTTGTAAAAGTTTTAAATTGGTAATTTCTATACAAAGATAATTTTGTTTTTAATTAAAATGAGAGAATTTTGTAGCTCTTAAGAGAGAATTACACAATAGCTTTTTCTTTCATTAGTACTAGTATGGATTAGAAATTATTTGATAGCGCCTAATATTTTAGTTATAGTTATGTAAAATGCAATTTGTACCCACAGAATGATTAGTCATTTTTAATTTGATGCAAAATATTCGTAATCATAAATCTAGATTTTAAACTTTCGAATATATGTACATCCTAATACATATATATTACGAGCTTCAAATGTATGATGTACACGTTTAATTAATTGATCTCGCGAACACTACATTTTTTTTACAATTTATTTAGAAAATTAGGTTACAGACGTGCGTGCTTTTATTTATTTAATCAATTGAATAATAATGAATCATTAGAATAATTTTGCGCAGACACAGTGTCTATTGTTTACATGTATGAAGGTACACATGTCCATATTACGTAATGTTTTTGTATATTTTCAGATATGTTATTTTGTGTAAAATAAAACAGCAGGTGATCATAAAGATAACATTGAATATTTTTTGCAAAAAAAAAAAAAGGAAAAAAAAATGTGATAACGTTATGAATCACGTGGGTAACTATGTAATTGAAATAAAATTTTCATCTAAGTTTTTATACAAAAGGGCATTGATTGTAGGATTTTATAAAAAAGTATAAATAAGTTCATTAGAGAATAATTAGAGGCTCAATAAACTGCAACTATATCTAAAATTCCTGCCAAAATTTTATGCTATTTTTCAGTTCAAGTATTAAATTCCACAAGTAAAACTTGTTTCAATTATCTCCAAACTGACCAAGCCAACTAAAAATTTAACACAAAAGTAATTACCATCAATAATTAAGAAATAAATGGACAAATTTCATGCTTACATATTCCTGATATCTCTCATCTCTTTCTCTCTGATACCACATCTCTTAGCATTAGTCGTTTTTCTTTGAAGAAGTAAGCAAAAGATAGCTACAAAAACCAGAATATTTGACAAAATGTTCATATTAGTTGTCTAACTTTTCTTCTGTTCTTTGATTGAATTAACTTCATTTTTTTTCTTGGAAAGTTTGTTCCAATACAGTGAATTGATGTCTGGAATTTAAGGCTTTCGAAAAAAAATATTTATTTTAAATACTTATTTTTGGCTTGAAGTTTATTTATTGATAAACAGACACACATAAATAAAACCAAAAGCAGCTCATTAAATAAAAATGTTGTTAATCAGTTTGTTTTATTTTTCAATGCCACAGATTAAAAAAATCCTGATAATTAACTAATTTATTTAAACGAAAACGGGTACTGTTATTATGGGCATCGTACGAAAAATGTTGCAAGCATATTAGAAAAAACTTCAATCGTGTGTTGTGTCGATTATTCCCGGAAAAATATTTGGTAAATCTACATTTGAAAAATCTTAAAAATACTTTGGCTCTATGAAAATTGCAATTCTTTTTATATTTCCATATTGTTTAATATTTATATGCTTATATAAGTAAAAGTTCCCTTCCTGTGTCACTTTGTGACACAATTTGGGTTGACATAAGCTCTTTTGAAACATCCCGTTTGTTAGCGACCTACCAACTCGCATTCACACAATAACTTCTCCACCATTTCGTATTCTTCCAAGCAGCGATAGCAGCTCCCGCTCTCCGCCTTGTCCATTCTCTTCAGGGGCACCATTGAGAGACAGTGTCTAGCAAACACACCCGCTAGCATTCTGAACAAATTTGGCCTACTTCTAGCCCCTCGGTCTCAAGGGAAATATTCATTTTTTTATAAGGAAGGGAGAAAAGTCCGGGCAATTTTCCCAATAGCCGACTCTGACTCGCCCATTCCAGTATTTAGAGCCCAGGGTTGACACACACTTGAGTCTATATCATTATTCTTAGCGTTACAAACGGTAAGGCAAATTTAGTATAGCCTTCGAACATACGTTTGTACGGGTATAAAGAAAAGCAAAATGGGGAAGACTGAACTCTTAATAATTTTGTATATTTCAATCTGTTTTATTTACGAGTTATTTCTCGTATTTGAAAACTTTTGAGTTATTTTCCTTTTTTTGAATCTCCCTTGTGCTCTAAATTTTTAAGTGTGCTGAACATATCCTTAAGCGCTTTTCTAATTATTAAATATTTCGTTTCTATTACCCTAGTCGTATGCAACAAAATTGGTAAAATTATGTACATAAAAACTTGTTGCATACATCCAGGGGAAGTATAAAATTCGGTCTTGGAAAAAAATTTACATCTTCCAGTCTCCATGATAATACTTGTACGAATGTAAATTAAATAGATTTATATTTATATATAAAATCATTACAATTCTCAACATCACAGATTAATAAAAATCTTAGATTTTAATAATTTGAGTTTTATAAATGAAGTGTGCTTTTCAATATACCTATAGAAGCTAGAAGCTCATTTATTTTTATTTCGGAAGATTTTATAGAAATTTTTGATACTAGTGGCTGAAAGCATTTTTATAAGAAGTATAAGTATTTTTTAAGACATTTAAAGCACAATATATACGAGTCTTTGAAATTTCAATAATAGACAATTTTTTTATTCAATTTTCAAACGATTTCTCTATTTTATATTGCTCGGAAACCATTGCAATTGTTAACAAAATCAAGTTGATTTTATTGGAAAGATTTTTTCGTTTTTTTAGAAAAATAAATTTTACAATATCCAAAATTGAAGCACAATAACCTTAGCACATCAATAAAATCGTAAAACTACAATAAGCATACACAAAGATTGGAAAACAAGCTCGTTTGAATTGTTAAACTACAAAGCGAAGATATACTCCAGCAAAATCCAGAAGTGAAACTAAAATTAAATTCGCAATTTTTATCTAAAAAATATTTACTAAGAAAATAATGAAACAATAATTTTTAATGTTCAAAATTTTTAATTAATTAATTAATTTGATTACAATTACATTGGTCGAATTTTTATTTAGAGTCATCGCCAACACATGAATGAGTGAAAGACAAGCAGAAATTAGAACAACAGTCTGAGTCACTCTCACACTAAAAATAAACAAATTTAAAGAATTTTCAATACTGAATGTAAAAAAAAATTGTTAATTAGTGCAAATAATGTTATCTAGATATTTAGAATTCCTTACTGTACTGCCACGTTCAAGGCAACTGTCACTTGCATTGACTCCTGCAAATACAAATAAGATAGCAGCAATTACACCGAAAAATAAGTTGAAAAACTTCATTTTGAATTAATTTCAGACACAACGAATCGCTTCAAATTTAATAATCTTACAAAACTCTGGAAATTTTTTTCTTCATTTTATATACACTAGTTAATTATATTAGAATTCTTAAAAAGGAATTGCCAAATTAGAAAGAATTCTTTAAAAATAAAATTATTAAATTTATTCGACTGAGTTTACAAAAAAAAATTTTCATAGTAATTGTTTCAACATTTTCCAAGTAATTGCTCCAAATTAATAACTTCATTATTGTTTAAATGTAAGTCTACCTCGCACATTCTTGTAGTACGTCAAAGAATATTTGGTAATGCCGAACTCTGACAGATACTCGTAAGAGATAATTTGGAACATACCGAAATGACAATATTGTACTCAATTTTGTAAGTTTAATGAATGTGCTCATATCGCGTGCGTTTAACTTTGAACGCTAAGTTGTGTTTCAATTACATTATAGAGAATCAGGTTAAAATCAACGCATAAAGAGTGATAAAAGTAATTAAATTAGTACGCCGAGAATATGCAAATTTAATTTTTCATGTCCAAAAAAAACATTTGTCATAAACAAACGCTCAATATTGTTTTTGCTTTACAAATTTATTTATAATCCTATAAGCTAATTCTATCTAAGCTAATTATAATTCAATAAAAATTCTCTTATCCAAAATCCAAATCTTATCCAAAAATTTCCTTTATTAGTTCATCTAATGTTTTCGTTTCCGTATTCATATTAGGGGAATCCAAGTCTTGAGCATCTAATGTTGGAACACCATTAAGATTTGGTTGTCTCTTGTGTGCACATTTATTAATATATGTGAAACAGTTATGAGAACAGCAATCCCATTGATATTGGCACTATAAAGATTTATGAGGTTATAATTTACGCGAAGTCTTAATTTAAACTAAAAATATTTCGAAACTTACATAGCTACCATATGGTACGCATTCTTTCTTAGTTGTGGGTTTACTTTCAGCAATTACATATAGAGTAATAGCAACCAAAGCGAATAGCAGGAATCGTAGTTTCATGGTTTTAATAATTAATTAATTTCTAATTGCTTTTTCAACTAAGACAGTTTCTTACTTCAATGTAGAACTAAAGTTGAATGGGCTTATATATATACTATAAAAATATCCAAGAACATGATTTTTGAATCTTGAAGACTTTTATATGTATTTTAGCATTTGTAATCTAATACAGATCAATTGTTTCGGGAAATTTGGAAATTAAATAAAATTGACGACAACTCGGATTATGATAATGTTTGAGGAAGACCTGATTGTACGAATTAAATTTCGAATTTTTGTTAATTAAATTTGAAAATAGATTTTCCCATGTTTATTCTATGACAACATTTTCGTTGGGTCACTTCAAAACTTTCAAACTATCAAGACAATATAAAGACAAAACATTTTAAGGCAATCCAATTTGATTTTATGAAGATGATATACTCTCAAGGTTAGGAAACGAGATTAGGTTCCTTAATTACAATACCAAAAATTGAATAAGTATGGCAGTATTATTGATTATAACCATCATATTATATTATGCTAATCAACAACCTTATGTCGAACTGGCATAATAATGTCAATTATTTAAAATAAACTCACAAGTCTAAATATTTGCGACTTATGAGTTCATATTTTTTTGTTTTTTCCATTTGGAAGTTCTTTTGTGGGGAAACAATCATTATTATTATTATTTGCTCTCATGATTCAATAATATTTATACTCATTTTAGTAGTAAATTAAAGGCCTTCATAATATTTTTATTTCTTGGTGTAGATATTCACATACATATATATATGAAGATATTTCAAAACTTAAAAAGGTATTCAAAATTTTAATTTTAGGTTTTATAACATAAAATTTTGGAAATTGAATTGGACAACCTTTCAAAAATTGACTGATATCAAAGACCTTAATTAATTTCCATCTGAAATCTTAAATTCATTCCTTATAAAGCAATATTAAATGTGCCGTAAGTGGTAAATACAGCACAGGGGTGCCGTGCGTGGTAAATATTGGAATATACAGGCCAAACAAGCCAAAAATTTTTGCAAAACATAATAATTTTACAAAATATAAGTAAGTGCGAACTACAATGTATAGAATGAAAATTTGTAATTGTTTACACTTTCCTTCATTGCAGATGCACTTATCCCGGCTCTGTACGAGAGACAGCGTATGTATTTCAAACATATTGTTTTTATTAAATAAGTTCCACCATCCAAATTTTTGATATCCCATAATTGTTTTTCATTCTTCATCGAACTAAACTTGTTCAATGTTAATTTGTTTTTGTTATTGTTTCATAAAACAATTTTTATAAATCTTCTTATTTTCATTATAATTATAAAAACTTTAGAAATTTATATTAAATAAACAAAATGTTTGAATTAAAATCCATTTGTACAAATAAATTTCCTATATGTTGTTACTATACAAGAATGCGTATATAGGGCCTTATCGTATTAAAAATTGTTATTGTTAATAGCTAAAATTATTGTTGGAATTTTCTTATTTTTAAGATAAAGCAAGAAAATTTATCCAATAGGTTACTACGCAATATTGAAACAATTCCCTGAAAAGTAAAAAATATTGAATTTTATCTTAAAATTTTCATAATAAAAAATGTTTATTTACGTGGTTTTGTTTTCCATAAAGTTCTTTTATTTGTTAAGCGTTTCAAGCGAGTTGAATGCCATCAAAAGATTCCTTTTCAAATTGATAAATATTAAGCTATTAAGTAAAGAAAAATTGAAAATTTGAGTGCGATATTTGGGTTTTTCACCTCTAATAATTTTGTAATTTTAACTACGATTTAGACGTCTGTCGATATAAGATAAAAGGTAAAATAGTAAAATATTTGCGTATTCATTGAATGTAAATTAAAAATTCATTAGTATGAAATCAAACACAAAAGAGATATGACGGTGCTGTTCCCTAATTATTTTATGGAGGTTTATTAGGTTCTAAATTGTAATTATTAAAATAATATCTAAATATTTTTTCTTCTTTTAATTATACGAGATATTGAAAATTTTTTTAAATATTATTAATTTAAAATGTTAAACTTCTTCATTTTCAAGCCATTGTGAAAAAATTTAAAACCTTTAATCAATATCGCGTGATAATCAATATTATATTATAATATTTGTGGTATAAGTACAGGACTAATGTGGCCGAATCCTCTAAAATAATAGTTAAGATTTCAAAAACATTTTGAAAACAAAACAATCAAAATTCAATTGCAATGCCAAAATTGTTTATTTTTCGGTAGAAACTTCTAATAATAAATTTCGAATCCATTGTATATTTAATCATAAATCTTATAAGTTTTACTCATTTATTGTATTTTATTTTAGGAATTGTGTTCGAATTCATTTAACTTATTGTATGTAGAAGGCAGCTAATATTATAATAATATCATGTTTTGAGATCGAATTGATAAGTGGCCAATACAAATTATAAATTGCGCTTTCCAAGTTTAAAATTATCTCACGTATTCAATATTAGATTGTGCCAATATTGATTTTGTCTGACGATAATGCAATGTACGTAATCTTAAGTATAATTTTTAATATGACGCTATTTTTTTAAATAGATTAGAAGAATATTCAAAGTTTTTATCATTATTCTTGTTTTTATTTTAAAACTATAATATTAATTGTAGAATTATTCAAAAAATACTAAATGGAAAAACCCTTACTATAATTGATAACAAATGAAAGTACTAAATGAGTAATATATGAGAAAAAAATTTCGTACAATGCTCTGTGAAGAGCGGGTGAGTATTAATCTAATGTAGAAAATTTAAGTACTCGAGTGCTTAAGTACTATTAAACTATAAAATGTTATCAAATTCAAAATCTCGTCAAAATAAAGATTGAGAATTAGATTTCCAACAATATATAACGCTGTTAACTCGCTCTATGAAAGCTTCGTAATTTCTCTTTAATTCTGCACATGACTTACGCAATAAAATTTGTTACGTATGCTTTTGATCTCTACTAATTATACTCTATACGAGCTACATTAGTTTTAATTAGTAATATTTGTCTACAGACAAAACCGGATTTAACTGCAGGCTAAACGGGCTTTTACAGCAAATAATTTTATACATATAAAATCAATTAAATTCGTTTGTAACCCATTGCATATATTTTGGGAAGATAAGGGAGTTAATAGTCGAAGTTCCACAAAATATTAAGATTAATTACAAAATAATTTAACGATTTTTTAACACACCTTTTTTAAATCCATTTCTGTTATAAAAAGCAGTTGAACTTGGTTTGTACATTATGCATGAAAATTCTTTTATACTACAATCTATTAATTTAGATATTGTAAATGTGATAATTCTTTTCTATATAAGAATTGGAATCCATCCATTGGAACAAGTTTCCATAAGGTATTGTTTACATATATACGGCAAAATCTAAGATACAACCAGAGTGTGATAGAAGTCGTATATTTAACATGCTGTTCGGCATCAGGGTTTGTCGGACGGCAAACAAATAGATGTTATATTATTCTCATCAGATTTTTCAAATGTAATAGGGCAACAATTAATTCTTTTCGTATTCCTAACGTAATTTCTGAATTCTATCAAATAATTTCAGTTCGATATCTAAACAGTCATCAGACTTCACAATAGATTTAATCTTAAATTTTGGCGTAGATATAATATGTAAACAGCACCAAAATTTTTTTCGCGAATATCTCTTTGTATAGGTTGGTGTGGTAAGGACCTGGAAGCATTATACACCTATGGTGTTATACATTCAAAGTGTTATATATTTAAGTATGATACTATTTTTAAAAAAAGTAAGGAATAATAATTGAAGAAATTCAAAATTAGCAATAAATTTTTTAGAATTATTTATATTTTATTTTATTTGTATGTCAGAAAGACTGCTGCGGTATTGCTAAAACAATTTTTCAATTGGCACATCAATATTAACATTTATTTTCTTTAACCAAAAACTTCTTTTAAAATTTCATCTAATGTTTTTGTGTTCTCTTCGTTTGTAACTGGTGGT